AGCACCGTTTAAGCACCGGCACCGTTTCAAAAGTACCAGTTTGGCACCGGTATCGGATAAAACCTAAACGATACCCATCCCTATCCGTAAAGGAATCAGAAGTTGGATCTGTAAGTATCAAGTTGTTCCGAAGGTCAAGAATTCCTATCCTCCAGTTCAAAAGTTTCTGCTCTTAAAATCTTATGGCAATTTCCAGATTCCGAATACACCGTAGTGCAGTCCAGACTTTAGGAAGCTGGCCAGACCTTTAGGGTGAAATCAGTTCTATGTATGCTACAGTTACACCATCGTCATTCTACTCCCGACTTGCAGCTGCCAGTCAATATCTTATTATCAAGCCTCATCGGCCTCGCTGTCAATATGACTGCTCTGCTGCCTGTGCCGATTAATGCCAAGGTGCCAATACCAGTTTGAGAGTTTTACGGAGAAATTCTCGAGTTTCCCCGTGCCAGCTGATGCTGATTAACTCCAAATCGTTACTGTTTTTTGTTAGATTCCTTTCAGGTCTCAAATGTGACACTTATCTTTCAGAGACAGGTATGAAAGTCAATATGTTTTGCCATTACACAGTACACACAACTGCTGATGCCAAGGAGCTTCATATTTTCCTTTGGGGAAAATAGCTAGTGTTAAATATAATACCGGCATTAGTGTAGTCCTCTGCTCTCCTGCGGTTCCCACTGGAGGGACCCAGACTGTTCATATAAAGGACAGAGCCACGCTGTAAGCCAGCAAGTGTCCCAGTAGCCTTCTAATAGCTCAGGCAGTGCAGAACCTTTACTTCACCTGTGCTTCACCTCTGCATCCTTCCTCCTCTGGCCACCAGCGATGGGAAAATAGTTTCTCATGTGGGAGTTGCTGCGTGTTCAGAGTCCTGCTCGGCTTAATCTGCAGTATGTTTTACTGTAAGACTCTGCTCACTGTACAGATGTCGATCCAGATGAAGGGGAAAAAAGTTGAGGGCCGAGGTTTGTCTCCCTTAAGGTTACTTTATGTTTTTAGTGGATGAGTGGAAGAGATTGAGCAAGAACAAAAGGAGAGAGAGATAAACACTTCACTCTTCATAAACGCTACAAGTTGACTTAAACTAGTTCACTTTCATAGGTCACATTTTAGAATTAAAAGAGGTATTTTTTATATACACTATGGGGCAATAGTATTTTACTACAGCGTAAGTAGTGCACAGGTTTATATGTTCATAGTGGGAATAACAACGTAACAATTGCACTCTACACACGGGTTACTGAGACCTTTCTGAACAGATCCAACTACAAAGATAAAATGGAGAAAAAAGGATTCAGTCAGTAGCTCTCTTTTGAATAATTTTGGATATTTCACTGCTGTTGTCTGAGTCATTGACGGCAGCATTCAGCATTTTAAAACTACAGCTCATGTGACCGTAGTGTGAGCACAGTCTATTGCTGGATTCTGAAAAGTAGCTAAAAAGTGAAGCATGCTCTTCTTTACCAGAAGTGAACAAACAAATAATTGAAGATGACTAAGCTGCTTCTTACTCCCCATGAAAGCTAAGTCAGAGTCAGCCGAGCACAGTTTTCCACACAAGTATCACCTTACTGTGCCACTTTAAATTATACGTGAGCAACAGGAAAAAAAATCACCAGCATATTACTGACGCATTAATGACTCTTAACTTTAGCCAAGTCAGAATGGAGTGTAGTAAGCATCCCAGTTACTAGAGGTGGGAATCACCATACATCCCATGATACGATATTATCACAATACTTAACGCACGATACGATATTATTGCAATTTTTTAAAATATTTTGCGATATTCAGATTCTGTACATAAAGGTAAACTTTATCAATATTCATTTTATTTAATAACAAAGTCTCACACTCAGTCTTTCTCTCATTTCAGTTTTATTGTTGACAAACTGAACGGTTTGTATTACAGTCTAGTCCAACTTAACTGAACGCAACCATCTGGTACAATTATAGCTATTCTGAACTATGCAGTTTATGAAAACTATGCAGCCCCTTCAGCAACTGAAGAATTTGAAAGTAAATTAAAACAAAATATAATTTTACATTAAATAAAAAAGTTTTAAACTTAATTAAAATAAAACATGTCTTAAATTAAAATAAGTAAACTGTCACATTTGGACAGTGAAGGAATGTCAGGATTGTTGCTCAGAAAAAGGATCAACATGCTCTGAAGTCAGAGCACAAAAACCTTTTTGTAACAAAATATCGATTTCTGCTGTCCCTGTATCGATACATTATTTAGCCAACAAAATATCACGATACTACACAGTATCGATTTTTTCCCCCACCCCTACCAGTTACCTGGTGCATAGGCTGAAGCTCAGGAAAAGTTTGAGCTCTGGGCGTCCAACCAACCAATCAACCAGCTTGACGAGACACGAGGTTAACTTTGGTTGGCACACAGCTCCACCACAGTGTTGAGAAGCCCACTAATCATGCAAATAACTTTGCACTTTACTGATGCTGCAGAAAATTTGTCGATGTGATCTGAAACAGATGTGGACACACCTGCAGCGTGACTTGTTCTCTCCAGCTGCGCACCCCGGTATCCACTTATAAACTAATAAAGATTGATGGTGGATCAGAGATTGACCTCTAAAACTTTGTAGCCCCAATGGAAAGTTTGGGAACTCCTGCACACAAATCACCTTCTTTTAGTTGCAGACAAATACATTTGGGTCACTGTTCACAGACAACAGAAGCTTTTTCCAGTGATCGTGCTTTTTAGCATATTTATGTGTTGAAAACAGAAAGGTCAACTTCTTTCAGGAAGTTAATGAAAGTCCTTGAAGGGAAGCCAGGGAAGCTGTCACCTGCCCTGATGATAGATAGCAGGTTCATTATTATTATCATTCCCAGCTCTAGCACAGAGTTTTATGCCTTCACTAGAGCCATTTGTTGATTAATTAATCAGGTAATGTATGCTATCTGTGCTACAAAAGAGCCCACATATCACTCCCTTTGCCTCTGGGCTCTTTACGAAGCCACAAACTCGGGTCTCCTGTAGCACATTCGAAAGATTACAATTCCAAAACAGGTGCTACCAAAAGAGAAGCCATTTGCACAAAGGTCCAGGTTGCTTTTAATGTAAAGTAGAATAATAAACATCCTTGAGGGAACCAGTCTCCCATTTCATGAATATATTTCCTTTTACTGGCCCTAAGTGAACCATGTCTGATGTAATCTTTTTTCAGCTTTTAGAGAAAGTTCTCAAACTGTCAAATAAAGAACCGCAATGGGAAAAAACAGTATAATGAACTTGGCACCATACCATCCCCAGCATCGTGGGGCTTGGAGCACACAGAGCTTGATGTCTTCTCTGTCTGAAGTTAGAGGGGAGTGGTCAAAAAAACAAAAGCCCAGAGGGGACATCAGAAGCGATGTTGGTGTTTGTAATGCAAGAACGCCGAGTTTTGTTCCGATGGATCAATAAATTCCAGTCCTTTTTTTGTTACATTTCTTCTCACGTCACACTTTTAAACTCCACTGAGCTGAAAGATGATTGACTGACGATTGGATTCATTTGTTTTGTAGCTATTGCAAAAGTCTGTACTGAGAAATGACAAAAAAACTGTCCAAATCACCATCACAGCAACATGATGTCATGCCAGAGCAGACAGTGTGGCATGCACAGAGCTGCTGTGTGGTGTACAGATGTGCACTTCCTTGGTACCTTTCATCCTTCCATTGTGTATATGTTTTTCACTTCCTCCACGGCTTGCTGCACCACGGAGCAGGATGTGACATCGTGCTCCCATAAAAACTGCATTCGCTGTTCCAGTCTCATCGTGAAGTTGCTCTTTTATCTTGTAATCCTGCGCAGTGATGAAGTCAGACGATGGAATCAGATAGCGAAGCTGTTTGAGACTGTGTGGTCCTGTAGATGTCCCCGTACTCCCCCGTCAGCTGTAAGCCTGCGATCTGTGTCCTCTCCTCATCATTTTCTCACGCTCCGTCTTCAGACGCTCTCCGCTCATTTTACTTGCCAAGTGCATAGCATGTCTGACGAGAATCATGCTCTCAGCTTGTCCCTCACCTTGCCTCATATATGTCCAGACCAGTGTCTCAC